TTCGAAATGGAAGGAAATGAATAGAAAATGATATATAAGAGGATTAAAGAATACTTATTTTGCCTCTATTTTTATGTGGTACCTAAGTGATTTTTGTTTTACTATTATCACTCAAAAATAGAATGATCTTTCTCTAAATCTCTTCACTATATATATATATATATACACACGATAAAAGGTTAGTACTATCATTTTCTTTTCAATTTTCTTTGTTATTCAAATTTGACAAAATATTAATATTGCCCTCTTAATTCCTTTTTTTTCTTTTATTGCAGATACAATCCTCCATTGTGCTTTTTCTTCCTAATCATCCAATCACAGCACAAGTGACGTGGAGCAGAAGGAGATCACTCTCACACGTGACACCCATGCCGGGTGTTTTGTTGTGTGTGTACTGTGTGCTCACTTCCCCCCTTGCATCATAAGACATTTAAGGCCATCCTCCATGGAAAGGGACCCACTTACATCAAAGTATAGGAAATGGAAATATTTAAATAAAAGAAAATTTGTAGTAGTTTAATTTTACTTTTGAAGTGAAATGTTAGTGACAGTTGTTAATAATGAAATGAAAATCAATAACAACAATCGTGATTAATTTTTAATTAATTATAACACGTGCTGTGATTATTTATTTATTTTTATATCACTGTTATTTTTAACTAAAGTCATTTTTTATTATAAAGATTTTGAAATAAATTTTTAACTTCATTAATAACCATTTTTTTAAAAAAAGTTTTGCACTTTCTCATCAAAATTCATTTAGTATGTTTTTTTTTATTAAAATAAAATTTTAAAATTTGACACTTTACTTTAAATTCTTGAAACTACTTTTTTTTAAAAAAAAAAAAAAAAAAAAAAAAAATTAGAGAATTTATAATAATTTAAATAATTCTTTGGCTGTCATGAATATATGCATAAAAAAATTGAAACTTTCAAACATTCCTTTGTACGTATAAACATCTGCATGATATTATAAGTTTTATTATAAATTTTTATGATGAATTGATACCAATTCTAAAATTAAAAATATACTCCGTAATTAATATTTTAATAAGAGAAAACTATTAAAGATAATTCAATAAGATTTGGGCAAAATTAAAAACTAAACTATTATTCGTGGAATTCTGACAAAAATATTTATACAAAATAAACTTTTCTTAAAACACGCACCCTCACTTAATTGTCGACCTGAGTTAACAAATATATTTTTATGTGAATGGAATATTGAGTCCCATCACACGGCATCGAATTCCATTTGAATAATAATTTGTGAGTTGATAATATATTGTATTTATGAAAATTGGGTGGTAAGTTCCACGAATTGATATCACTGTGACATCATGTAATAAAACTCACAAATCCTTGCTTAAAAGAAAATTTTCTATTCATTCCATTTATATAAGTAGGGTGGTGGCACTAACCCATTCGCGTAAATAAAACCTGATAATGACTTACATCACTTATTTACATAAATTAAATTTGATAATCTGAATTTGATAACTTAAATTTTATCCAAGTATTATCCGGTGCTCTAATTAATAAAACTTCGAGCTTCATGAGCCCTTGTTCGAATACCCTCCTAAATACCAAATTCAACCAACAAATTATGCATATATATATATAATACTCCTCTATTTTTTAAAAAATTTTGTTTTTCGAGAACCGTAACTCATGTCTCAAAAGACGATATCTTTTTTGAGAGAGTGAATAATAATTTAGACCCACTTATTGACGGCCTAAAGTGAGGGGCGTGAATGTCATTACACTTCATAAAAACAGGGGGCCATGAGGCTAACGTTTTTGTAATATAATATTAAGTGGGACCTACTCGCAAGCGATACATACTGTGTGTAATGTGTGTTATCATCAAGAATTGGCGAAAGTCCCATGGTGGTCTCACGTGTGTGGGCTCCCTTCTCCCTTTGCACTATAAGACATTTAAAGCCCATCTTCCTTGGAAAGGGACACACACCCGAGTAAAGGAAATGGACAAATATTTAAATAAAAGAAAATTTGTAGTAGTTTAATTTTTTTAAAAAAGTGAAATGTTAGTGACAGTCGATAATATTTCAATTACTCGTATAAGATTTCAATTACTCGTATAACACATGTTGTGATTATTTATTTATTTATTTATTTTTGATATCATGGTTATTTCTAACTAAAGACATATTTTATCATAAATATTTTGAAATAAATTCTTAACTTCATTAATAACCATTTTTTTTAAAAAAAGTTTAATAACCATTTTTAAAAAAAAAAAAAAAAAAAAAAAAACTAAGTTGAGAATTTATAATAATTTAAATAATTCTTTGACTTTCATGAATATATGCATTAAAAAATTGAAACTTTCGAACATTCCTTTGTACGTATAAACATCTGCATGATATTATAAATTTTATTATAAATAGTGAAATTTGAATAGTATATTAATTATATTAGAAATATGTTAAGTTTGATGGCATTTAAAACTATGTTTTATTTTTATGAAGAATTGACACCAATTATAAAATTTAAAATATACCCCGTGATTAATATTTTTAAAAGAGAAAACTATTAAAGACAATTCCATAAGATTTGGGCAAAATTAAAAACTAAACTATTATTCGTGCAATCTTGAACTCGATTGAAATATTTATACAAAATAAACTTTTCTTAAAACACGCAAGCTCACTTAATTGTCGACTTCAGTTAACGAATATATATTTATGTAAATAGGATAATGAGTCCCATCACATCGACATCGAATTCCATTGAATAATAATTTGTGAGTCGACAGTAAGTTGAATTATATGAAAATTGGGTGGTAAATTCTATTAAACGGTATTACTGTAACATCATGTAATAAAGCTCAAGGGTCCCGCTTAAATGAAAAATCACTACCCATTCCATTTATATGAGTGAGGTGGTGGCACTAACCCACTCACATTAATAAAATTTGATAACGGCTTACATCACTCATTTACATAAATTAAATTTGGTAATTTAAATTTAATCCAAATTTAATAACCTGAGTTTGTTCTAAGTTTTACCAAAGATCTAATTAGTAGAGTATCAAACTTCATAAGTGAGTGTATTTGTATTCGAGCTCGTCCCCTTAGACACCCTACAAATCATTATTTATAAATATATATATATATATATATATAGACCCACTTATTGGTGGCCTAAAGTGAGGGGCGTAAATGTCATTACACTTCATAACAACAACGTTTTTGTAATATAATATTAAGTGGGACCTACTCGCAAGCGATACGTGTAGCTTTCTGGCGGGCGCACTTTGTTCTTAGAATAAGCAATATTATACCAGTCTCTCTATATATATACACCCCCATCTTCCCCAATCTCCCACACACCACAAAAACACAAAGAAAACACTATTCTTTCTCTCTCTGTATATCGGACCGGAAACAGTATGAGTTATGTGAACCGGGTGTGGGTAGCGGCCGGAGTCGCCGTCGTAAATGGCGGCCACACCGACCAGGGGTATAAATGGAAGTCCTGCCTCAAATCTCTTCATCACGCCAACAAACGCTTCTTCTCTTCCTCCTCCGCCGCCGCCGTGCTCCGCTCCGATCTCGCCGGAGACGAGAGAAGAAAGCAGGCGGATGAGTCTCTCCGCCAAGTCATGTACTTGAATTGCTGGGGCCAGAGCTAAGGCTCCAGAGTTATTAGAATTGAGAAGGTTCGGTGGGCGGCCAAGAGTGGCCGCCCGGAATCGGAGGAGCGAGTTGACTCGGCACTGAGTCGGAGAAGCCGACTCTGTTGGCCTAAAATGAAAATGTTTAATTTTTCTACTCCTCCAATGTAAATTAATTTATTCATACAATAATGGAACTTAAAGAGTTTCTTTGGCAATAAAAAAAACATGGTTAATCTATAATTTCTTACTTAGACTATTGCTACTAATTCTACGTAGGATCAAAAAAAAAAAAAAAAAACAAAAAAATATCAAACCAACAAGGAAAAATAAAATGAAAAATGGAGAGGAACAATTATAGTTGCTCATTTTATTTATTTTTACTTTTATATTATTATTTTTTTGCTTGGCAAATTATTGAAAGGGGATTTAAATAATGTCCATTCATAATCAATCAATTATCTAGCGAATTTGAGTAATGTCCCATCATAGTTGCTCAATTATTGAGCCACTTTGTTGGAAAGAACTTTTTTTTTTTTTTTTTTTTTTTTTTTTAATATATATATATATTGTTTTTTTGGCTTAAGATGAAGAACAAATGAAGGAGAAAGAACATAGGAGAAAAACAAATAAGTGGGGAAACCATCATCGAGTAATGTCCCGTCATAGTTGCTCAGTGATTGAGCCATTTTGTTGGAAAGAACTTTTTTTTTTTTTTTTTAAATATATATATATATATATATATATATATATATTATTATTATTATTATTATTATTATTATTTTGCTTAAGATGAAGAACAAATCAAGGAGAAAGAACATAGGAGAAAAACAAATAAGTGGGGTAACCGAGTTATCTAGATCAAGACACAGAATTTCTTTTTTTAAATTTTGAATCATACTTTGAAGTAAAGAGTTATATCGTTTTTGTCATTGAAGTTGGGTTTCCAAATTTTTTTTTTAGATGCAATTAAGCTGGTGTGCTGGATTTTATTGTTATTATTTTTCCTATTTCATTGCCAATAATGGACGATTTGGTAAAATCAGTAGAATCATAAGGAAACAAAATTTCTCCATTTGAATAGTGGTTTAGAACCACTTTATTCCGTGTAGTTAATAATAAAATGCTTCGAAATTCTCTCCATTGAAATAATAGACCATGTCTCATACATACGGGCTTCATACATACAGCGTAATTCTACGAAACTCAAATCTCTGAACTCTGGAAAGTAAGGACTTGGTATCATTTATCTGTTTCATGAGCAACTTTCACCAAGAAAAGAATTGAAAAGAAAAGAAAAAAAAAATCAGCACAACAGATGAATGATCATACATATATATATATATATAAGAAAAATAAAAAAATAAAAATGACTGATCATATATACTGAAGAAAAAAATATAGATTATAATAACCTAGTAACTAGAAATGCTCAACCTTTACAAACTGACCTATCTTAGGAAAAAAAAAAAAAAAAAAATTCAGTAAGAAAATGAACCGTAAAGACTAAAATCACTAGTTACAAGCCAACTCTCTGGATTTCTTTCATTACACACACACAGCAACGTCCAACCTTCCAAGTGTACAACATTATGTAGGAGGAAGAGGGAATTATGGAAGACCAGTAATACTGAAAGAAAGGAAAGAAAAGAAAGTTAAAATAGCAACAAAACAGATCCTTTAGAACAAACATGCACAAGGGAGATGAGAAGCAGTTTACGTGCGATCATAGTGTTAAAGAAAGGGTCTTCTGGCTTCCAAGGTTTTGCGGCTTTATTTCCCATGAAGTAAACTGATGTGCTTCCTCTGGGAGGATAAAAGGCAAGGAGATCTCACGGATCATCAAGTCACCGCAAAAAGGGCATTCACTCGCTATGGCGTCATCTAACTGTGATCGGATCTGCCCATCATATCAACATCAGTTTATCAGTCTCATTTACCTCTGAGAAGTACAGTTAATGTATCAGTAAGAAGCATGCAATAGGATCTTGTGGAGAAAATTGACTTGGACCAAAAAAAAAAAAAAAAAGGAAGACGACGACGAAGAAGAAGAAAGACATCATCCCATTTTTCTTCCAAGGAATTTGAAGGCACAGATGCAACAGAAACATAACAAGTAACTGAAAACCCATTTCTGCCAATTTTCCAAGAATCATGTTCTGCCATGAAGAGACTCACCGCGAATGTTAAAAGGACAAAAAAATAAAAATAAAAAATGAGAAAGAAAATGGACTGGAATCAAATGGGTGTAGATCAGGGAAAGTTTTCAATCTTTGAATGTAATCACAGGCTATCTGAATCACCCATGCTTAGTTGCTTAAGTACAAAATGGAAAAAATAAAAAGCAGACCTTATCCACTGTGGTCAAGCTTGTTATTGCCTCCTCCTCAGTTAAACTACCATTGACTTCCTTCTTTGGTTCACCACCCAGTAAAGTAAGTTGCTTCTGCAGATCCAGTATATATTCCGCCTGCAGCAGTCATTTAAAAAAAAAAATTAAAAATAATATATATATATATATATATATATATCTAAGCCAAGGAACTTTGTTTCTGAATAACATTTCAAAGTCTAACCAAACACATCCATTCTTAAATAGATGACATAATATCAATCAAGGCACTTAATTTACTTCACTCTACATTGGTCCATAAAGAGACTTGCAAACTGAGGATATGGCTGCATTAGCATTAGGGGATGAATTCAAGACGGATATGAGAATTTAAGTACTGGAGCTAATGCCACATCGTTTGGTTTTTGGATGAATTTTTGGGTCTTATTCACGATGAAACCTTCATGATAAACTTTCTCATGGCAGTTGTAATTACATTTTCAGTACTCATAGCATAAATATAAACTGTCACGATGATGGAGTTTTATCAACATATGGGAGATACCTGACTTTTTAGAAATTAAAACCAAGATAAATCAACAACTTGGGATTGGGGTTGTCTGAAAGCAGCCACTTTGGCAAGGTAATGCTATTAGGTTACATCAAGTTATTGCTGTATTTTCCGTTTCACAGGAAGTTAACCGGTTTTAGGAATGGAATTTGGGGCTTAGTGGCTCTATGTGGTAGACTTCCGAGATGAATCTGTAGCAAGGTTTTATTGTCTATCTCTTCTTTTCTTTCTCTTAGTTTTTTTTTTTTTGGTTCTTTTCATAATACACTAACAAAAAAGAATCAAGATAGCTTATTTGAGAGTCAAATCACCAGTATTAATTAGATATTGTTGCTACCATGAGTTTTAGAAATGCAAGGATAAGAAATGTTCTCTCTAAGATTGATCAGGTATTTTAAGTTACCGGTCTTATTTTACCGTGAACATGCATTTCAAGGGCTAGTTTTCCCTTGTTAGGAATAGCAGAAATCAATAAAATTCAGTATAATGTAAAATGAATGCTTTACAATGTGTAGTCGATTCTTCTATCTCATAAAGTCAAATGTCTACATTTCTCACTCCTTTTTTGTTGCGAAGATGAAATGGAAAGGGATAAATTGTTCTGAATTATTAACAATCGTTCCTACCCAAACAGGCATAAGCTACTAAGCTTCCAATATGCATTGACTTTTCCCACCTCAGAGGAAGTTTTTCTGCAATATATCCATGTAGAAGTTGGCAAGGATCATATGAAGTCACCGTGAGTACGAAAATTACAAAACAGAACAAGTTTTATCTAATTCTTCCTGTTGCAGTTCATAGTCAAGCATGTTCATGTTTCTTTTTCAGTTTATACTCCTCAGTCTACGTCCAGTGCTAATGTTATGTATATTGTATGAGATGTTCTTCATGATTTCAGTTTGACTCTTCCAGACTTGCTAGCTGTGTTCGATGCTAATTAATAGTTTTGTTTTGCTGTTCTTTTGGATCTACTGGAAATGGGTTTTCTCCATTTCAGTTTTGTATTAAGGGGGTATGCCTCTTTTTGTCCCAATACTTAAATTCATATTTTATAAAATCAATCCCATTCAGGGAAGAAAAAAAAAAACTGATATATATTCCATATATATATATATATAGATATATTATGTATGTATGTATTCATTCGTCACAACAGGGAATAAAAAGCCCTAATTCTATCCCCTTCTATTTATACGTCATGTCAGCATTTTTACCACTTGGTTATGATGGCTTTTGCAAATAGCACGATTCTATGATGATAAAGAACTGTACTTTCTTATGTCAAATTGATTCAGGAGATTTTATAAAATCTCTTAAAGAGTAAATGAGAAGAGAAAAAAAGAAAAAAGATTTAGTTTGGTCAAAGCATTTTCCCTTGCCTAAAGAAAATATTAAAGAAGATGAATGATTATAAAAACTATCATACAACTTACTTGAGATTGGCTGGTACACCTAGTCACATGGGCAATGAGGCATGGTGCATGGAAGGCATGTTCACATGGAAAAACATAGAAAGGGGCCATTGATCCCATTGACGTATAACTCCTAGCCATCCGATATTCCCCTCCTGTCGTTAAGATTTTCCGCCGACAAACCTGAGTATTCACAGAGTGAGAGTAGGACTCCATGTACAAGGCAAAATGCTAACAAACCAAATTAAAATTAATTCAGGTGATAAATGATCTTTTAAAAATGAATATGTAAAAAGATAAAGAGCACAATGAGTGTTCTGTTTGCCGCTGATCAATGTCTAGTTTAAACAAATTCAAAGCAGAACCGAGCCAGCTAAAAGAGGCCACACAGTGGAACAATATACAAGAACAGAAACTCCCACAGCCTGAATTGGATGAACTCAAAAGAAAGAAAAGGGAAAAGGGAAAGAGGGAAAAACAAAAAAGTACTGTGGCAGAGAGGGCTCAAACCAAAAAAAGCAGAGTTCTAGAGGAACTAGATGGAGCATCTCAAAGGCAAGCTAAATCATGTGTGATAATCTGTTTCAACTTCAATCATGGACCAGATATAATAATAGTGCAAAAACACATGCATATGTAAATTTAAGCAGGAATTAAACGTGTTGATTGAATTTTGCTGTCCATGGAAATTAACACGAGGAAAATCAGTACCCCACAATCCTCGTCACGTTTAATGATAGCATATCTTTGAGCAAGTGCATTGATATCATTCCTAATGTTGTCTGCACCATGCGTTGCATCATTCATCTCCTGTTTCAGCTGTTCAATTTGCTTGTTGTAATCCTCTAACGATGAGCAAATTGCCTCCTACAATCATATGGAAGAAATTTAGGCTAATGGTAGCTGAAGTCAGTTATATTATAAGCAACGAGAAGCAAGCCTGTTGTGCAGTGCCAAAGGAATTGCTGGGAATATATAAAAGGAGAGAGAAATTATTCTTACAAAAAATTACATAATAAGCAAACAGGAGACTATAACATGGATTTGAGTGCAGGCAAACAAAAGAAAATAATAGAACTAAATCGACAAATTGATACATTTTTTATTTTATTTTATGTAAGAAAATTTTACAGACTGAAACGGAATGTAGAGAAGAAGGAAGACAGCACTTCAAGAAACAAAACAACAAAGCCTAAAGCTAAAGCTAAAAGCTAACCAAAGGATCGCTAAAAGCTATTGCACCAGACTCTTACTAGTACTAACCAAACAACACCAGTAGAAAACAGCCAGAAGAACATACACCAGCAAGTAAACACAAGATCAAAACCCCAAACTACTACTCAACAACACAACCCAAATAACAAGCAAGCAATCAGCACTATCCCAAGATTAGAAATGGAAACAGAGCAGTGTGACAACACTTTGAATCTGATAAACCAGAACTAAAACCCCAGTTGGCAGATCCCACTGCTTGAAAAACCAGAGATTTTGCCTTGTCACTTTCAAATGTTGAAGACCCAAAAGTCAGCATTTAATAGCATCAAGAATCTCCATTTTGACCTGAGACACAGGCTTAACAGATTTTTTAGTCAGTCTGGAGTTTCTCTCTCTCCAAACAAAGTAGACTGATGAAGCTAACATAAGATGCCCAGTAATAGCAATCTACTGGACCTTACTAAGGCAAATAGATACATCATTTCACTCCCACCATTACTTCAAAAATGACAACAATGAGAATTTCTAAGACACGATGCCACATAAGCGAAAGAAAGAGTATAAAAGTAGAAATTTAGACAAGTTTGAGAAGTTTGGTTTTCACTAATTTTTCCATAGAACTTCCCTGATTTATGTCTCTGATTTATGTCTTGCTGATGTCAGCATTTATAGGTCCAAAATTATACAGCTTGGATCACCTGACTTTTCTGGTATTTATGGTGGTATCTGTGATTTGGTTTGAGACTGTTTGAGTGGATTTTTCTTTTTTCTTTTTTTCTTTTTTCTTTATTTTTTATTTTTTATTTTTTATTTTTTGTGTTGCTGCCTAGTTCATTTTGATCTGAATTTTGGAGGCTTTTCAGCTGTTTTTGTTGGTTGAGATCCATCATATATGGTGCTGATGCCGATTTCAAGAATAGGTCGTTTATCCACATTGCATTCTCATATATTGTAATTATCCTTCAAGAATATAGCATGTCAACATTACAACCATAATGATACAGTATCCATCCTGTCAACAACCATCCCTCCAAAAGCTTAAGCTGTTAGAGAGTGTGTAACTTTCAATATAAATCCGTCAACATGCCCCTTCACGTGTGGCCTTCTTTTTGGTCCAACACATGCTTCAATTTTAATTATCAGGGTGACGGTGAGGTTTGAACATGAGACATTTGGCTCTGATACCATGTTAACAACCATCTAATCCAAAAGCTTAAGCTATTAGAGCGGGTGTAACTTTTAATATAAATCCTTCAACACATCCAAAAGCACTGTTAACTTGTATTCTCAATTTAATTTTCCAACAAAAAACTGTCACCAAATAAACTGTATTTAAAACTAAGATAATAAAATCTTACTTTGAAATCATCAATCAGGGCAAAGTCTGGGAAGAATGGTAAAATATCCTCAATCTTTAAGAGCCCATCAGTTTCCTTGAGAAATGCTATAGCCTTTCGGATGTTCTCCCGTTTGGTTCCCTTTTCCTGTTCAACAACATGCTTGGCAACCATTAACCAAAGCTTTTTTCTCAAGTCTTCATCATCTTCAACCTTGTCAGCTTCAGCCATAGCGAGCTCAGGGTCAACCTGGTGCACCAAAAAAGAGAAATTATACACCAAAGACGATGCTATAAAAAGTAAATATTTAAGCAAAATAATCACTTTAAAGTCAATTAAAAATATATATGTAATTGGATGCTTATATATATTCAAGAAGAACACAACTAATTAGTAGGGTTTTTATCTCTTATACTAGAAGGAAAAAGTTAATTAAAAAATTATGATACTTGAATTTGATTTCCACGCTCACAAACTACCTCTACCATTCTCCAAATCCATTGAAAAAAAAAAAAAAAAATCTCCAAATCCCATATGCATGTTGTCAACAATCATGTGCACGACTTTGGCGTTCCACAGGTAACAGCATACAGGATCTAAGAGTGTATCACTCGTGGCAGTTAATGAATATAGCAAACTAGCAACAAACAATCTAAAATCAGAAAATAATCTTAACTGGCAGAACTAGATATGAACTTAAACCCTGTAGAGGCAACCACAGATAACAACTATGGCAATGGTTGCATCATTAAACATTTTGTGAAATTTCAAGTTTGTAACATGAAAATTAATAAAACAAAATCTAATTCTTAAGTGTTTCGTGCAAGACAAACAAAGAGGTTGCATCCTAATCGCGAAGGAGGAGCAAAAGAGAGAAGCTTCCTTAGGTGAACTCCAATCCACTGATTTAATGGTATTCACTTGGCGCTGATGGCTCGATCAGAAGAGAACAATGATGCCGAAGAAGATGGAGACAATGGTAGGACTGATTACGATGGTGGATGGCGTTGAGTCTTGGTCATCATTTGGGCGGTGGAGGCTGTCGACGGTGCTAAAGAAGACGATTGGGTCTATGAATAGCAAAGAACACAGCTGGGTTTCCAAGTGGTATGAGGGTCGGTATTGCAATAGAGGCTGCTGATTGTTATCTGAGTTGATGATGACGACGATGGTTATGGGATTTGGAGCAATTGTATACAGCGATTGGGCAAGGTGTCTAGGGTTTATTCGGTACTGGTTCGTTAAGTGGGGGATCAGAACAGTGTGATGGCCTTGATTTAAATTTTCAGCGGGGCTGTGGGATTTGAGACGGTGCATTGGTTGGAGTTTTGGTCACATTGGACTGAAAGGGTTTCGTAATGGGGCTTGCGAGTTGTTAAGGTTTGGGTGCATCGACAATAATGAAGACTGGGGTTTGATTGCTTGGGTAGTGGGTTTGCCGGTGGTGATTTTGTGTTTTGCTTTGTTGCAGACAGTGATCTGCAGAGGTGGGGGTTGCTGGTTGTGGTTTTTGAACAGTGAGGATTGTGCCAGTGAGGCTTTTTGCTATGGTTCTTTTGCTCTGAACTTAGCTCTTTTGCTCTGATACCAAATTGATGCAGGACGAATGGGGCTATTCTGATACCAATTTGATGCAGGATAGAAGAAATAGAGGGGAAGAAATCTCTGAATATTCATCAATCAATAATCATCAAAAGCTGTTCAAGCCAATGTACCAAGTCCTATATATAGGCACTAAAATAAAAACCTAATCAATTATTACTACCTAATAAACCATAAAATAAAACATTAATAAAATATTCCTAAAATTAAAACATTACCAAAATAAAAATAATGAGTCAAAATTAACCATATTATATATCCATGTCCCTTCTCCAAAAGTCGAGGCAAAACACGTATAGCTCGTGTGCCAATCATATCTTGTTCTCCACCATATATTCTACTCTCTTTTTCTTTTTTTCCCTTTTTTCTCAACACATATCCAAAGACTCCTATCTGAATGAGTAAATTCATGTCTTAGACCACATTTCAAAGTGTGTATATATATGTTGTGTATGATTCCTCCCCTTGGACGCAAGTTCTTTTTCTTTTGATCAATGCAAAGGCACTATCAAAATGATGGAAAATGTCCAAATCTACATGATCTCGACGAGGCGTCCTTGAGGGGAAACATTTATGTTAAGTTTGGTCACTCAGGCCCAAAAAACACACAAACCACCTGCCAAACCATCTGGTATTTTAGCTTCCTGTCTTGCTTTTTTTCTTTTTTTCTTTCTTTCCACTGAATCATGATTCGGGTTGGAAGATTTTCCGGATTTTGAGATGGTATGCTCGGTCGCAATCCCTCCTTTCTTTCCCCTGTCTCCAATTCTACTGGTACATCGAGTGTGTTAAGTCCACCTTTTGACGTTTTTGACTTTTCATAATTGTCTAGAATCCAATCTAAAACGTTCCAGTTGGGGAGGTCATGGAGATCTCCACCCTTGCAGACATTCTTGGGTGTGGAGTTGGTTCATTCCCCATTTCGTATTTGGGCTTGCCTTTGGGGGCACCCTCGAGGAGAGTGGGAGGCTGGGATCCTGTGGTGGAGAGGTTTGAGAGGAGGCTTGCAGGGTGGAAGAAGCACCATCTTTTGAAGGGTGGGAGGGTCACCTTGATGAAGAGCACACTGTTGAGTCTTCCTACTTCCTCTCTTTTTCAAATTCCCTACTTGATGGCTAGGAGGACAGAGAGGCCTCGCCAAAATGTTCTTTCAGGGAGTTCAAGTACCATCTTGTTTGCTGGGAGCAGGTTTGTAGGCCAATTCAATCGAGAGGCCTGGGGATCAGGAGACTGGAGCCTTTTAGTAAGGCTCTTTCGAGGAAGTGGTTATGGAGGTTTGGCGCGGAGAGGTAGAGACTTTGGAGGTGGGTGATTGCTAGTAGACTTGGGTAGGAAAGGCGTGGCTGGTGTTCTTTTGAGATGGGGTTTCTGGGGGAGTAGGTGTCTGGAAATTCATCTGGAAGGGGTGGGACGAATTTTCTAAGCACATCATATTCAGGGTTTGGGATGGCAGGTACATTCGATTTTGGGAGGATTTTTGGTGTGGGCTATGTGGCGACTGCTCTTTGGCATGTATCTATCCTAGACTCTTCAGGAATGCTCTAGATAGATATGCCTTGGTGGCGACTATTATCGGCTTGATAGCGGGAGGACCTAGGATGTGCGCTTCTCGAGGCACTTCCAAGATTGGGAGTTGGAGGACGCCATTGGGTTCTTGGAGCTGTTGTATCGCCAGGAGGTGATGGGTGGAGGTTTTCATTCCCGTGTGTGGGTCCCCTTGAATTGGGGGCGGTTTGATGTCCGTTCTCTCTATAGGTGCCTTTCAGACGTTGCAGGCCTGCTTACCATAAAAGGCTATTTGAACTAAATTGGAGATCTTTTGATGGTGAGGAGACTCCTATTGGTTCGCTGAAGTTCTAAATTATTAGTTCTCTTTTTTGTTGGGTTCTAGGGAGAAATTGTAAATCCATAGGGGTAATACTAGATTTTTTGGACATATTGAGTTTAGGGGCCATATTTGGTCCTTGTGTAGCTTTTGCGGGATGCGTTCCCCATTTGAACTCTTTTCTCATACAATCTTATGATTCTTATCCAAAAAATAAATAAATAAATCAATATCATTGAAAGCCGCCATCATCATCATCCTTGCCTCGATCCCATATAAATCATTCTTCGCAAATCTATTTGCCTTGTCTTCTAGAGTTGTATTCAACCGTTATACTCGAATGAATCAAGACATTTAATATGTTACAACAAAGTTTTGAGTAGGAAATTGCCAACACATGACATATATTCCTAACATTCTTCTTTTTACTTTACGGCAGGATGCTATTTTGTGTAACATAAGAGTATTTAACTTGAAAACTTCGGTCATTTTGAAATAATAATTTAATAAAAGAAACATGATAAGATAATTTCATGTACAATTATAAGATGAACTCACAATCTCTCATACCATAACCAAGTGTCAGTCCATGTGAGCATATACGTACTTTGAGTCACTAAAGAAATAGTAGTTGGGTAAAAACACTACTAACAAATCTGCATCCAATACTTGTGGATAGTCCATATGTCATAGAAAAGTCACTTGGTTTTAACTACGAGAATCCTTCACACTATTCTGTGCACCAGAAATTTATTAACGAAACAATTTTAAGGTGGACAGTGCAACAAGAATGAAACATAATAAATAATTGATGACATATTGCTTGGACTTCAAACCTTTAGCTAAAACAATTTTAACCCAGCAATTTATTTAGTGATAAGGCAACATTTCTTCAGTGCCATTAATTGAAAAACACAATGTTCATCAATGTAACAGTAGAAATATAAAAAGAAGAAAAATGAGATAATTGTGTAAAGACTTGAATGGGATAAATCACTCATTCATAACTCTAGTATTTATAGATAAAAAGAGCACAAGCCCATATTACAAGAAAGGAAATTAAATCAAATCACAGCATATTCTAAAGCATAATCAAATATCTGCTAATGTGGTAAGTCATTCCATAAATCGTGGCTATCATATCTGCTAACACTCCCCCTCAAGTTGGTGCGTGGATATCTAAAACACCCAACTTGGACAATGCATTCTCAAACACAATCTTACTGACGCCCTCTGTAAGAATGTCTGCAAGCTGTTGATAGCTTGTGACAAATGGAGTGCAAATCTGACTAGTGATGATTTTCTCTCAGATTAAGTGCCGATCAACAAATCAAAAATGTCTCCTCAGACGATAAACAATTAACAATGTCTCCTCACACCATAAACAACCAATCATGTCTCCTCAGACCATTTCCCTTTATACACAAATTTAAAACATGTAGATGGAAGAATCAACAATGTCTCCTCAGACTATTCCCCTTCATACATATGTTTAAACAATGTAGATGAAAGAATCAACAATGTCTCCTCAGATCATAGAAAGAAACAACTATGTCTCCTTAGACAATTTCTAAATAGGTGGTGTCAAACTCACAACGCCTTTATTGAGGTCAGACCACCCTGCCTACCCGACACCTCCCGAATGGGCGATGTCACTATTTAAACACTTGTATGTATATACGTATTTATGCTGGGGTCTTATTGTAATTAGATATAGGGTTTGTGGCCATTATGTAAATAAGCCTTTCTTGTATTGTATATAAACCCCCTTTATGGTTTAGGGTTAAAGGAAGAAACATGAAATATGGGTTGCGCCACTCTC